ATATATATATATATATGCATACTTAAATAAAACTTTTAGGCTAAGTGAAATGGGGCCTATTATAAGGATTAAGAATGACAGCGGAGTCCGTGACTGGAAATAGTGTACTCGTACGCGGAAAGAGGCACCTCAGTGTTATGAATTTCTTCTACCTATGTCAGTGAGTATCTAATTTAATTTATTTAAATTGCTGTAATTTCATGTTAATGTCGAAAATGGCATTTAAATTGGATCAGGATTAGATTTTTAACCCTAGTTTAAGGATTTGGCAAGCCTGACAAATTAGTCGTCAAATTTAGTTAAATTATGATTAAGAATTTAACACCGATTTATTCTAGATAAATCCTATTTTCAACATTATTGATGCAGTTCTTAAATCTTAACAATGTGCCTTACCTCCTAGTGGAGCAACAAAAATTGGGTTTTAAGCGTTAAATCCCCACCCCCTCTAAAATATTTTGGATACTTTTTTTTATTAATAGTTCGAGATTATTATTTTTTATTATTTTTATATTATTAATTTCATATTATTAATCTTTATTATTAATTTTTATTTGAGAACGAGTAAATTAGCTATTGAGTAAATGATCTACAAACAGAACATAACATTTCACTTAAGGAGAGAAAAACAAGCTATTTTAAAAATACATATGCAGAGAAAGGAGTGTGAAATCTTTGGCGTAATTAAACAGGCACATGTTCGACTATTATTAAATAAAGTTATAAAAAATCATTAAAAATAATTTTCTTGATTGCAATTGTCTTTGCATAATCAAATTCAATCAAATTAAATCACAATAAAAAAAATAAAAAAATTATTAAAAATTATTTTCTTGATTGTAATTGTCTTTGCATAATTAAATTCAATAATTGTGCCCAAAATGTTTTCAATTTGCTTAATTTCTCGAATTAAGCCTTTCTTAATTTCTAGAAAATTACGCATAAAATAAAATTAACTTTAAGGAGTCAAATCTTTAGAACGTCCTCCGGACCAAACTATTAGTACCCTATTTCTCAGATTACGGTTACCCAATATATTTTGAAGGTAAGGAATCTGTCTGAAGAAAAAGGTATATTTATTTCAAAGAAAGTATGCTTTTGTGGCGAATTTCGTAACTTAAAATATTGTAACAATAAATAACACAGATTAATTTGCATATTTGAGGTTGGCTCTGTGGAAAATCCGATCATTAGATCAAACGTTATTCAGAGTGTTTTTTCCACACTGTTTTCTGAAGAAAATGTTTTGAATTACATGGTTGAAAGATCTCGGAAAATGGACATAAGACTAAGGTAAAAAAGGATAATAAAATTTTTTTTATAATTTTTTCCCCCAATCTATATGTTTTGTATTTTAACTAGTAAATTAATAATAAATTTTCTAATTGCGTGATAAATTTTTTATTGATGAAAAAAACTATCAGTTTCAGGAATTTTTTTTATAACTGTTGAACAGTCAAACCAATTTAGGGTTTACGACTACCAACGACGTTTGGGTTACGACTTTAGATTTAAACTTCATAGCCTTTTAAGTCAATCCAGAAGACAAGGGAACTTCTGGATTAAGTATTGGGAGAAATTTGCCTTCGGGGTGAACTTTTGATGGAACTAATCCGCATTTGTATTACAGAGGGAGGAAAACCACGAAAATCTCGCACAGTTAGCCTGACGGCGAGGAGACCATAACTCATGATCCGTCTACCACTGAGGATATTTTACGTCAGCACTGCGATCGGTGTCAGCCTGGTGCGGAATTCATATCGACCAGCCATCGCGGGAATTTTAACCAGATTCACCTAATTGGAAGGCGAATAATCTATCCCCTGAGTCGCAGCGGCTCTAACATTATTATTCAAAATAATTCAGCACTTCAGTGATCAGCACTTCTGAAAAGTAAAACTCAGATTATAAACTTCAAGCATCCCTAACCAAGAATAATTTTCTGAGTGCGCCACTGCTACCACCCCTAGAAATTTTGTCATCTATTTTCAGATTCATTTTTTAAATGTTTCCGCATGTTTCTAAGAAAGTCATCATTTGAAAATGCTAACGCAGGTCCACCATTCTTTAGAGTTTTAGGAGCCTACCGGGAAGAGGCTT